TATATATATATATATATATATATAGGTAAAGTGAGGAGAATGCTGTGTTGCTATGGTTTCCTGATCAGCCACTAGAGAGCACTAAAGGACTAGAGGTTGATCGGTTAGCAATGATGCTCCCTGACAGCATTCATCAACAGCAGCAGCATTCATTCACATTCAGTCTCACTCCAGCTCAAGATTCCTCTTTATCAGAATGCATTACAGATCATGCTGAATATTACTGCACATTCAAATGCAGTGACACTGAATTTGAGGGCTAGCCTATATAGGGCTAGCCCCCGTCCCTCCCTCCCCCACCATTCAACCTGCGCTTAAGGTCTGTGTAGAGGATGTGAACCGGGTCTTAAGGAAGCAGAAATCTAAGAAAACTTCAGGCCCAGATGGTGTTTCACCTGCCTGTTTAAAAGTCTGTGCTGACCAACTGGCCCCCATCTTCACACAGATCTCTGGAGCTGTGTGAAGTTCCCTGCTGCTTCAAACACTCCACCATCATTCCGGTCCCCAAAAATCCCAAAATCACTGGACTTAACGACTACAGACCTGTCGCTCTCATGTCTGTGGTCATGAAGTCATTTGAGCGACTGGTCCTGGCCTACCTGAAGGACATCACTGGACCCTTGCTGGATCCTCTTCAGTTTGCCTACAGAGCAAACAGGTCTGTGGACGATGCAGTCAACATGGGACTGCATTATATCCTGCAACACCTCGAGAGACCTGGGAATTACGCAAGGATCCTATTTGTGGACTTCAGTTCGGCCTTCAATACCATCATGCCTGACCTTCTCTCAGACAAACTGACACAGCTTTCTGTGCCCATTGAATGTCAATAGCGTGACTTTTGCATCTCTTTTGACAATGAAAACTACTGCAAAATGTTCTTTAAGAAATCTGTAACAAGACACAGTCTTTGAAGCTGAGGTACAAGATCGTATTTTATTTTAAACTAAAATATGTATTGCTTTAATTTTCTATAGTATGTGTTCAATTATAGTTATGTGGCTAAAACCACCATCAAAATGTTTGTCTAATCCGTAACAAGACACGCCCATTGAAGTTGTGTAATAAAACTGTGTGTGTTATAAATTAATTTATAAAAAATGTGAATTTCAAATTCAAGTCAAAACAACTGCAAAGCAACACTTTGCCAGCTTTATCTTAATTGTTGAATTGCAATAGCATGTTTTCTGTTACAGTTCTGTGACTAAAACAAATATAAAAATGTTCTTATAAAAACAGTAAAGACACACAGCATGAGGTTGATACAGAAGAGTGTATTTATTTTAAATGAAGTTATTTATTGATTTTAATTTCAATAGTGTGTACTTTTTTGGTGTCATACTTCGGTGAAAACGACGAACATTAAAATGTTCTCACACGGACCTGAAAACAGCCTACTGCATAACCACTGGATTATGGCATGATAATGATTTTTAATATTGTTTTTCTTTTATGAATATATTTATTAATAGTAATAATATAATAATAACCACCATCACATATCTTGTTTACAATATTTCTTATTTAAATTCAAGTGAGCGTTATAAGTGTTTGTCTTTATATATTTCAAACACCTTGGTGCACAAATTGCTCTTGTTTTGTTCATTGTTAAAAACATTTCGGTGGGAAAACGAATTAATAATGAATCGTTTTATCCTTTACGTGTACTTTGTAGACTGTCCCTAGCTGGCCTAAGCGCTAGCTCGCTGCTGCTAAAGACTTTATGCGTTGCAACATATCGAGGAGGAGTAAAATAAATAAACGTTCTAATGCTTTTCAGATAAGCCATTTTTTATACAATTATACTCATCCACTAAGAATGTATAGATTATTTTCGCAGCTGAATATCTGTCTAATATCCAACCTCTACCGTTGAACCACCGTTATATCGGTTTGGACTTGTTTATCCCTGAACCTGCTCTACAGCAACCAGCACCAACGAGGAAAAACTGAAAACGAACAAACTGCGCTAAGTAAGAAATTACAAACATATAAACATCTTAAAATTAGTGAATAGCTTAGCTTTAGTGAATAACGGATAACGTTAGGTCAGCCACGGTGTTACTGAATACTTCATTCACAAGGTAAATGTAGCTAATAACGAACGTAGGATTTTGAAAAAGGCTTAAAACCACTGTTGAATTACACTAGAGGATCGCCATATGAATAAAGTAGCCACACTTACTTTGCAGTTCCTCTATTTCTCTTTTTAGCGCTTCGCGATCAGCCATCTTCACACCAAAACACGGATGTCATAAAACCGCGACGACGCCTGTGATTACGTTTACAGGCAACATCCAATCACAACACGCCTCTCAACAGACGCTTCTACAGTTTTGGTTTTGAGCTGAGCTACGCCTGGTTGTTCGAAACTTACAGACTGACAGTAGTTATGTCTGGAGAGTAGTTTCATTTAGAGCAACATTATATACTTCTGATAATCACATCATTATCTTTATTCCAATAACCGTTTTAAGTGTCTGTATTTGGAAGAAGGCTGACAGTTTTGCATTCTAACAGTTTCGTTTTGGGTTACAGAAAGCGAAAGTACTACTGACATCGGTAAGTAATGAGCATAATTAGATCGAATGTTTGCTCAGTTTAATTGGGAATTATTAATTTTATGAAGTCGATTGAGAGTGGTTGTTAACTTATTTAAAAACTTCGTTTTATTAGCCATATAGTATTCCAGGTCGATATATCAATAATCTATTAACAAACAAAAGTTACTATCACTAACTTTTGACTGTTTTACAGAGGGTGTCTACGCAGATCTTCCTATCTACCAGTTGTTTTAAATTGTTTACGTTTTAACTTGAAGGTATTTAAACGACAAAGAAGAAGAATATGCATTACTCAGAGGAAGTGAGCAAGTAACATAACTCCAATGCTATAGGCCCATGCCCACACTGGAAACACTGGTGTCTACCTGAAAGCCTGACGTACTTCACTTTTCCAAGTAACATTTTCAACAAATGGCTTCAGCTGACAACAATATATACTTCATCATAACTGCAGATCCACCTTCACCAAATGTGTATATAAAGGCTGGTGAAATATGCTTCATATATAAAGAACGATTTAATGCAAGGCAAAAAAGAAACGACACAGACGTTTTGCCTGTAGTTCGTGTGGGAAAATCAACGGATATATGGCTTGATAAAGTTCTTCTGCAGCCATTGTCACGCAGAGAAGCAGATTTACTGATGGCTCTTGAGTCCAATGAAGACCGACTCTTGACCCTGAAAGATCCTGAGGCTTTAGAGAAGGCTTCAAATCTGTCTGAAGGCGGTCAGGTTCATGTGGAATATAAAGGGCAGTGGCTCAAAGGTGTGATTCGATACATTGGCAGTCTCACATCTTATAGTTCGGATCCTATAACAGGAGTCTTCTTCGGGGTGGAACTGCAGGTGAGTAACCTGCTTGCATGAGCGAGATTGTGTCTGTAGTATTGTTGAAGAGAGAACAGAGGTAGAATAATACAAACGACCCACTAAGAGTAATGTGGTTGTATAAGTCTTATATTATTTTTATTCTTAGGGGGAAGATAAAGGAAAAGGCCAAAATGATGGTTCCTACTACCACAAAACATACTTCACATGTCCTAAAAACTCAGGCATTTTTGCCCCTTTTACAAGAATCAAACCAGTGGATCATAAACCTTCAGCACCCACACTACCAACTCAGTCTTCCCTGTCCATGACGTCTACTGAGCCTCTCAAAGCTGGAGACAGAGTAACCTTTTTTGGTGACAAAAATGCTCACCATGGCATGGTTATGGATATAAAGGACCACCCAGATGGCAAAATGGTTCTCATATCTACTGTGAGTACTGACTTCTGACTTCTTAAGAGTGAGTAAAAATGAATATTTCACCCAAAAATGAATTTACTCAATGTGGTTCTAAGTCTGTATAAGTTTCTTTAAGTTGAACAAAGAGGGTGAAATTGTTAAGGATTTCACCTTTTGTGTTCCACAGAAAAAAATAACTGTGTACAGGTTTGGCATGACATAGTGAATAAATAATGACAGAAATTGTATTTTTGGGTGACATTTTTGTTGTTGTTGTAACATTCTCTTTAAACACGTTCCTTAGATCTAAAGATAAAAACAACTGGATTGGTAGCATGATAGAAACAAGTCCAAAAAAGAAAGCTTTACCTGAATGTTTACATAAATATTAGTCCCAGAATAATGTTCTATCTCTTAGGGTACGTTTATAAGATAATGATTTGCTAAAGTTTTGCTAAAGAAAAGTTTTTCCTTTGTATTTTTTGCATACAGATGACAACATCATCAAAATTATCCCCATTCACAGGGATCCATAAAAACGACTTAAACACTGTATTTATCCATGCCAGGCCAATAGTTGGTAATGTTACTTTGTAAAGAAACACTACGCAAACACGTAATACGCATGCGATGTCACCGTTTTCACAAAGTTACGTTTTTGTAATTTACACAGAGACAATAACAGTATTGTTTGCAAAAACTTGCACTTTGAAACCTGTTTATAACTCTAAATGATGTTGACTAAATGTAAATTAAAAGAAAATTACAGATCTTATACAAAACATATTGCATAGATGTATGTACAAGAAAAACAAGACAGTATACAGATTAAGGTATAATAGTGTGTTCACCTAAAACTCAAAGAAGAGCTATTGTACAATGTTACTGTATATTAAGTAAGAATACTTTTCTAAAATGTTCCTCTTCTCAGGATAAGGATGAAGAGGGGAAGCAAGGAGGAGAGAGAATGCTCCCACTGGATTGTGTAATTAAAGAGGAGCTGTTAAATAAAGGTAACATATGCATGTGTTGCCGCAGGTTTTATGTGTATTTATAGAACAGAAGAACACATAATACAATCATACTTTTCGTTTTTTGCTTTGTTATTCTTGTGACCAGATGGAACTGAAAAAATGGACACTTCTCAGGGCCCAGGGATGGGGGGTATTACTGATTCTGACGAAATCACTGTTGGCTCCCTAGTGCAGTTTCAGGGAAAAACACTACTTTATGGTATTGTCCGCTGGATTGGATGTTTACCCAATTTCCCTGGGATGACTGCTGGACTGGAACTGGTAGGTTCTCTATATACCAGTTCAACTTTTGTAATCTTTCAGAAATTCCTGTAGTTCTGAAATAAAAGAAAAATATAAGCCAGTTTCACCATTTGTTAAACTAAGACTGTAATATATGTATTTTTTCTTAGGAGGACAGCAGTGCCGGCGTGACTGATGGAACATATAAAGGAAAACGGTACTTTAACTGTCCTCCTCACTGTGGTTTATTTGTGAAACTCTCTTCTTGTCGGCCTGATGATCGCTTTTCTGGTGTAAAGAAGAAGCTGTTCAATGGACACTCTGGTAAGACCTAATGATATGGTTAAGTTTTTGTGAAATTACATTGTACTGTACACATTTAAAGTGTGTCAGGTGTTTATTAGAAGAAAGTGAAACTTTACCATGGACAGGTAGATTACACCAACCAATATTATGTTGCCACCTACTGTAGTGGAACTTGTGTAACTTTCATGTGTGCCTCAATCTTCTTCTCTGTGACAGATAATGATGAGGCAATGGTATCTGAGGAACAGGACAATGTGCCACCTATTAGAACAGAAGATGTGTCAAACCGACTGATTGGTAAGATGAAAGGCATTCAGGGTCACTGCAACTCCTGTTATATGGACTCTGCCCTGTTCAGGTTAGAACTCATCATAGACATGATTTACTTGGAGTTTTAATGTATGTTGTATTATAATGTATATTAAATTATATTTACTGTATAAGTATATATATATATATTGCTTTCTTTCTTTAACATACATTAAATATAATTAGTGTTGAATGTAGAAGTAGAGTCAACAAATAAATAAGCACAATTTAAATATTTCTGGTTTAATTTATCAACAGTTCAATAATATGACATGATCTTATTTCTGTTTTTTCTTTTTGTCCAGTGTGTTTTCCTGTTCTTCAGTTCTGGATTCTCTGCTTTTTAAGACTACAGAATATGAAACCATTCAAAGTATTCTGCTAAAGAGCATTGTTAACCCTCTCCGCAAGTGAGCTTGTGGTCCTCATTTGGCTTTGTATTGATAGAATTTTGACCTTGTAAAATTTAAATTTGAAAGTCATGCTAAGCAGAAATTTCAATAACACTTATTGTACATATACACATATAGGAGAGCTGGAATAGCCTAATTCTCTCTCCTAATTTACAGACAAGGTTTTGTATCAGAGCACAGTGTGATGAATCTTCGGAAACAATTACAGAAACGGGAACACTGCCCCACTTACACCACAGATGAGAAGGGTACGCCATCTCCTTGATGTCATAGCCATATTCAGCTTTGTTAGCGTTGTCAAGTTTCAAACAGAATATTAATGAAAAATGTCCAACTTTACATTTCTCTACAAGTCATCAAAACGCAGATCCCAAATATTACACAGCTGTTTCCACAAATTATTTATATCTCATTATCTCTAAAAGATCTCTTGGCTGTTTTATAGAATTGCACTAAGCATAGTGTTTTTCCTGATGTGTGCAGATCCTGAGGAGTTCCTCTCTCTCATCATGCAGGAGATTCTCTTTCTGGATCCGCCACTCATACTCTGGTAGGGAACTTTTTCATTGTTTTCATTTGTCAGTAGGGACAGGAATTTAGCTATTCTAGTTCCTTCACAATTTCATTGTTTATTCCTAGTAATTTGAGGAAGTACCAAATAATTGATCCTAAATACTATACTATTTAACACATACACACACACATATAAACTACACGTTGGAAACACTGTCCGAAAATTTTAGCATTATGATCTCTTTGCAAAGTCGGAAGATTGACATTCAAGAAACTGTAAGCAAACTGCACATCATGAAAATGATTCTGTTACAGTTTTTAGGAAAAAAGATCTGTTTCTTGATTCCTACGTCTAATTTTCAGAGATTGCTTCTGCTAAATATGTCTTGACCTTGGCCTTAGAATGCCTTCTAGTTTATAGAAGTTTTTTGGAGTTTATGCATTAATATATGTTTATTACTTGATCTGCCTTTAGCAGCCAATCAGGAAGCATACAAAAAGTGCAAAGCTGTTACTACTACCAAATCTTTATGGATTATAACCACCATTTAGTCCTGCCGACAGTTCAGCAGCTACTGGAACATTCATTTTACAGCAACAGTCTCAAACTAGCCGAGGTATCATTCTTCCTTTTGTTTGTTTTGTGTTGAGTGTTTGAAATTCTGCTTTCAGTTCTTTATTTGGATTATTTTGGTTGGACATTCCATAATTGACCTGCAGATGGTACTGTTACTCTCTACTTAAATATTTCTGGTGTGACCTAAATGAATATACATCCTCTATGTGTTTTTCTCAATATCTTATTGAAATGGATCCACAATCTAGATGTATAAGTCATTGTATTATCTAGCTGTTACACTGAGTTTTATTTCTTTATGCCACCAGGTGCCTGCCTGCCTGATTCTTACTATGCCTCGCTCAGGGAAGAGTTTCAAAATGTTTCCAAAAATCATTCCTTCTACAGAACTGGACATCACAGGGCTTCTCGCGAATGGTAACTTGTCCTAAACATCTATACAAATATGAATGTCTTGGGATTTTCCTAGTAATGTGTTTCACTCTTTCTGTGTGTTCTGTTAAGTGACCTGAGGTGTGTTATATATTTACTTGCTCATTAGGTCCTCAGCAGTGTGTGTTGTGCGGTCAGCTAGCAAATCAGGAGTGTGCCGAGTGCTTCAGAGACACAGTGTTTAGTGATAGAGGATTCAAATATTTCTGTTTGAAATGTTCCGCTCAGGTAGGTTGTTAAATATGCATTCTGCATTTATTGGAATATTCTGTATAAATTATAGTGCACACATTCAGTCCTTTCTTAAGGGTATTTTCACAGGCTTGATTATTGTTAAATTATTAGACTAATTATTAAAAGGGATTATATAGAGTAGATTAAATCATGTACTTTATATTTCACAAATCATTTACTTATTTAAATATTTCCTACATTTTAATGCAACATAATATGTTCATCTATCTTGGAACTGATTTGTTTGTGTAGGTGCACTCTCACCAGCAGCGTCGATGCCACAAACCCAGCACCCTGCGTCTTCCTCAGGGCTTCTCTTGCTCACAGATTTCAGGGTCTGATCGCCGCACTCCTCCACGGGAGAAACTCGAGCTGTTTGCTGTACTGTGTATAGAGACCAGCCACTATGTCTCTTTTGTCAAATATGGACCTCAGGATACTGACTGGATCTTCTTTGATAGTATGGCTGACCGCGTTGGTAAGTAAATGTGTGCTTGGTTTTAGTTTAAAGGGATAGTTCACCCAAAAATGAAAATTCTGTCATTAATTACTCACCCTCATGTCGTTCCAAACCTGTAAGACCTTTGGGTTCACCTTTGTTCGACCCAATCACGGAACACAAATTAAGATGTTTTTGATGCATTCTGAGAGCCCTCTGACCCCCCATAGACAGCAAGGGTCCTTACACGATCAAGGCTCAGAAACGTAGCAAGGAGATCGTTAAAATAATCCATGTGACTTCAGTGGTTCAACCGTCATTTTACGAAGCTACGAGAATACTTTTTGTGTGCAAAGAAAACAAAAATAACGACTTTATTCAACAATTATGCAACAACGTATGCTGTTCTGTGTCAGCAGCACTGTACGCAGATACGCTGTTTACACTTTGATCTGAACATAAGCAACGTATCCCCATACATACTTTGTTTACGTATGTGATACTCCACAAAATGGCACTATAAGGGGATGTGGAGGAGACAAATTGAATACAAAAAGTATTCTCGTAGCTTCGTAAAATGACGGTTGAACCACTGAAGTCACATGGATTATTTTAATGATCTCCTTGCTACGTTTCTGAGCCTTGATCATGTAAGGACCCTTGCTGTCTATGGGAGGTCAGAGAGCTCTCGGAATGCATCAAAAATATCATAATTTGTGTTCAGAAGATGAACGAAGGTCTTACAGGTTTGGAATGACATGAGGGTGAGTAATTAATGACAGAATTTTCATTTTTGGGTGAACTATCCCTTTAACCGTGGGTTTGAACATGTAGATCATACACTTTCCTGTTTGCAGGTGAAAGTGATGGCTATAATATCCCAGAAGTACGTGCATGTCCTGAGGTTGGCCAGTACCTACATATGCCTCTGGCTCAGCTGGCTAATCAAGTGCCTCGAGAGATGGAAGGTGTGGCGAAGCGACTCTTCTGCGATGGTTACATGTACCTTTATCAGAGCAAGACCATGTGTCTATATCGATGATTAAATCAATACGTACATGTCAATAAATGAGAATGTGCAATCTGATTATCTATGAATAGGTCTGTTTAGTAATGGATTCTAATAATGATATGTTCTTTTTATGGGAAATTGTGAAACTATATGCTTCTGCTCCATATTTGAGCATTTATCAGTCAGATATTTACACTTTCTGTTGGAATTATTTACTTTCTCTATGGAATTCCCATATTGCATTGCATGGGTGGGCGGTACACACTTTTTGAAACATGCTGGATGAAGATGACGCAGCTGATATCCTTTAAGTGATTTAGACTTGAATAAAAGTACACAAATTGTCAAAGTATGTGTATAAGAAATAATATATATCATCATTTTCTAATATTACCAAAATGGGAAGAGTTTTTATATTTTCTTTTCAAATGCGTATTGCTGACCTACTGTAGCTTGATGCCTAATTCATGTTAATAGATAAGGGAGTCAAGACATGCTTGCTTACATTTAATACTGACAAGATAAAGATTTTGTTTCTATAACATATGAAGTTGATGACTTGCAGAATTCCAATTGTAATTTTCGATTGTATTGGTTCTTGAGGTTCTGTATGAAGCTTTCTGACTACTGAATAACATTGTGAGCAACACTGTATGTAATTACTGTGTCACAAATTATCTGATCCTTGAATTTGTTTGTTTTAGTGTATTTGATTTCATTCTAGTGAAAAACCCCAAAAATAAATATGTCTTGACAGGAATTACTTCCTCGATGTCCTTTTTCGCTCTCAGCTCATTACATTCCTCCCCTAACCAAACAGGGATAAACCTGGATGAGACTTTACATGTTTGTGTTTTTCGTTACAGCATCGTAAACTGTAAATGACGGAACAGTAGTTGTTTAGACTGCAAGAGGTGGAAAGGGCTCACAACAGCACTTCTACTGAAATCTTTCCTTAAGACTGGATAAGAAAAAGGGGATTTGGTATAATTTGTGCTGTGATACAGCTAATACACTTGGATGTAGATATTTTAGATGCCTTAAGCAACAGGCTTCACTGTAAACATTTACACTAAGTTATAATATTTATTTTCTTCCCATAGAGATAAATGACTTCCTGACTTGATACGTTCTGTTGCCTTAAATCACATTAAATAAAAAGTGAATTTAGCTGTCACTATGTTATAATGTACAGTGTGGAAATTTTCATTTGCTGAATTGCTAAAGATTACATTTAGCTGTGTTTTTATTGTTTTTAAAGGATTACCTGAAGTGAGAAGATGACAGCAAATGTAATTTAACAGTGTCACAATTAAAAATACAAATGTTCGATATGACAAATAAAAAAGAAATACAAATAGTGAATGTGCAAAACAAATAATAGCCTAATAATATTAAAATAAATAAATTGTATTGGAAAATTGACAGAGAAGCCGTTTTCACTTGGAAATTGCTTGTATATTTCATAAATTATTACATAGATACTGCAAGTAACACACTGAATTAAATGTCATGTTTTTAAGTATTTTCTTGTAAAACATACTCCAATAATAATTTTCTTACCTACGACTTTGAAAAATGTTTAAAAAAATAATAATATATATATATATATATATATATATATATATATATATTATTATTTTTTTAAACATTTTTCAAAGTCGTAGGTAAGAAAATTATTATTGGAGTATGTTTTACAAGAAAATACTTAAAAACATGACATTTAATTCAGTGTGTTACTTGCAGTATCTATGTAATAATTTATGAAATATACAAGCAATTTCCAAGTGAAAACGGCTTCTCTGTCAATTTTCCAATACAATTTATTTATTTTAATATTATTAGGCTATTATTTGTTTTGCACATTCACTATTTGTATTTCTTTTTTATTTGTCATATCGAACATTTGTATTTTGAATTGTGACACTGTTAAATTACATTTGCTGTCATCTTCTCACTTCAGGTAATCCTTTAAAAACAATAAAAACACAGCTAAATGTAATCTTTAGCAATTCAGCAAATGAAAATTTCCACACTGTACATTATAACATAGTGACAGCTAAATTCACTTTTTATTTAATGTGATTTAAGGCAACAGAACGTATCAAGTCAGGAAGTCATTTATCTCTATGGGAAGAAAATAAATATTATAACTTAGTGTAAATGTTTACAGTGAAGCCTGTTGCTTAAGGCATCTAAAATATCTACATCCAAGTGTATTAGCTGTATCACAGCACAAATTATACCAAATCCCCTTTTTCTTATCCAGTCTTAAGGAAAGATTTCAGTAGAAGTGCTGTTGTGAGCCCTTTCCACCTCTTGCAGTCTAAACAACTACTGTTCCGTCATTTACAGTTTACGATGCTGTAACGAAAAACACAAACATGTAAAGTCTCATCCAGGTTTATCCCTGTTTGGTTAGGGGAGGAATGTAATATATATATATATATATATTAAACTTTCTGCCCTCCAAAAAAAAAAACATCATGCCCTTATATGCACTTCCTTCCTCTTTCTTATTGTCTCTTTCAATGAAAACTCTTCCCTTTTTACTTTCATATCCATGCTGTCATTGTGAGTCCTCTTGACTTGATTTAGAACAAAGAGAGTGTGAATACACAACCAACACATGTTGAATTCACAAAGCACTGTCAAAAACACAGAAAAGAGCAGACCTGTGATCAGCAAGCACTGCTTTACAGGCACAGGAAATGTACTAATGCCTGACTCTAAATCAATAAAGCGTTGCCTGCGTGATGATCTCATTATGCAGACAGAGTTAAGCACTGTGTGGGAGGGGTCAATGTCAACTGATTTCACCTGACAAATCTGATCGATCAGTTAAATAGGATTACCTGTTAAGAATAGTGCCAGGATATGAACATTTTCTAATTTCTTGTCATCAGTTCATTACATTAAATGCATGTGTTGTGACATACGTTGCCTTAATTGAATCAGAAGTACTTTTAAACACAATTGGTCTTTTCAATGCATACTGGAGAGCACTGGTCCCTGGTGCTAACCATTTTCATAGTTAAAAATGAATTAAAGGTTACTGAATGTGGATTAGTGAAAATAAGTTACCAGGAAAGCCACAAGGGTTGCACTAGGCCCTTAGAAGATCACTCACATATCAATATCAGTATATACACGACTGCTGGAACACTAAACAATTATTTATGAGTAAAATCTGATATGGACATTTTTGATTTTATCACACAACCCATATTGGACAACAAGGTAGATTTACTAGGGCTAATTCTGTTTAGATAAGAGATCCATGGTTTGAGGGCCCAAGGGGAAAATTCAGTCAATTGAATAGTAATTGAAGAAGTCCTGCAGTGACCAGTTCATTCAGGCCATCCAAGATTAGTTTGTTACTTCATTGGAACAGATTTGAAAAAACTTCACCTGCTCACAAATGAATCATCAGTGAATGGGGGCCATCAGAATGAGAGTCGATTAAAGCATTACAATAATCCACAAGTAATCCACACAATTTAACGTCTTGTGAGGTGAAAAGATGCATGTTTGTATGAAAAATATTTGTTTAGAACTGTTTTGGACTGTTTTTGTTTGTAAACAGTGCTTGATCTACGCATATTTCTCTCCTGATTCAGATTACTTTTTTCATTGGCGAAAGCAATATTATGAATAGAGAACATATTTTAACAGTTTGAAGTTAAAGTGTCTTGATGATGCATTTGTTTATTACATATTCACAGCTTTTCACGTCACAAGATGTTAAATGATTGACTGGAGTTGTGCTTTATCAGCTGTTTGGAATCTTATTCTGACGGCACCCATTCACTGCAGAGGATCCATTTGTGAGCAAGTAATATAGCGCTAAATTTCTCCAAAACAGTTTCAGTTAAGAAACACAATTATCTACATCTTGGATGTAATTTTTTAGATGAACTATTCCTTTTTTACTTTAACATTGTCACGATCTCTTCGCGAGAGGGCACTCCACTCCAGACTCTTGCCACTTTACCCAGGACTCCATTTCCCATAATCCTTTTCATGGACTCATGAATTGCATCACCTGTCTCTCATCAGATCTCATCATCAGTTCACAGCTGTCTCACATTAGAAGGACTTTAAAAGTAGCATACTACAGAGTGTCTCTGTCTTTGCTGGTGATTGAGTGTTTATCCCTTCTGTGTTTCCTAGTTTCCTTGTTTCTAAGTTTTGCTTTTCTCGTTTTTTGATCCTTGGACTGTTACCTTGTTTTTGATTGACTGCTGCCTGCCTTGGCCATTGCCTGTCTTTTTGGATTACTTGTTTGCCTGTGCCTTGGATGTTATTGCTTGCTGGTTTCTGACCCTGCCTGTCCTGACTACGCTCTTTTTAAAAGTGTCATATGATGTTGCTAAAAAGAACATTATTTTGTGTATTTGGTGTAATGAAATGTGTTTATGCAGTTTAAAGTAAAAAAAAAACATTATTTTCCACATACTGTACATTATTGTTTCTCCTTTCTAAAACGCGCCGATTTTTACAAAGCTCATCGGTCTGAAAAGCGAGGTGTGCTGTGATTGACCAGCTATTGGCCGAATACCTCAAGTGTGTGACGGAAATGTTACGCCCCTTACCATGCTGTGATGCCCTGTCCGGCTGGAGCGACGATTCAAAAACATTAAAACCCATTATAAACGAGGAATTTGTTACATCCAGTTGGGACATAATTACGGATTATAAAGACTTATACTGTCTTTTTACGCTTGCGTTGCATCGCGCCGCATAAACATAAAACCATGTCTGCATTTGTGATGGGAGAAATGACAAACAAGCGCTACTCTACACTGCTCAAATCTCGCGTTGGAATCATCAGTGGCAAATCCTTAGCCTGCTATTGGATCTCCACTTCGTTGTCACGACACCTCTATCGTTACAAACATGAAACATACAACATTTAAAAAAGCTGAGCTGGAACATGAAAACACTCAGCTTCAGATGAATCCCCACCCCCCAAAAAAGCAGGCAGTTATTGGCCAGAATGGGTTGCAATGAGAACTACTTGTACTAACTACTTGAACTAATTGTGCCACAATTCAAACATCTGGCTATACGAAATCTGTGATTCCGTTAATAACCTACGTTAAGGTTGTTGAACACAACAACTCCCTTATTCGCCAAGACACTGTTATGGTCTCTGTTCTATGGAATAAGAAGTTCAGAATCAAGGCGGTATTTTCAGAGGTTGCGCAACAGGTTATAAAGCAATCATTAATGAGGATGACACTTTCTTCACTGCACACCTGCTAAGTGTAAATACTGATGTGCAGAGTGTTGCTTCAGACCATGGCTGCTGTGTTGGTGTAATTGAGAGGTCTAGTCACAGAAACAGGATCTTGCCTTTGTGCTATGTCAACAGCTTTGGAATAATTGCATGTGTAGGAGAAGGTATGAGAAGGTGTGTTGTGCATGATTACTTGTTTCGATTGTCATTCTTGGTCAAGTCCTTAGATTCCGTCTTTTTATCCCGATCAGACGCAGTAGAGGAAATATTCTAAATCTGTTCTTAGGGAGTCCGTAACACTGAAAGAAAGACATTAAGAATCTTTAGTTTTTCCAGCAATATTGATGTTTTGCTAGATGTGATTTATATGAGAGATAGAGAATTAAAACTCTAATTAGATGTATAGGTTCAGTTAAGGTTGGTTGTGTAATCAATATAATAATAATAAATGTTTTCAAAGTGTTGTGAGATTTATTTATACTTTTGTTTTTTGTGTTTTTTTTAAATCTGC